ACATTTCCAGCATCCCCAAAACCACTGCCTATGCCACCGTCCAGTCACTACCCCAAAATAGAACCCAAATTATAACACTATAGATTAGTTTTGCTTGTTTTTGAAATTTTTATAAGCAGAATAATATAGTGTTATACTTTTGTATGTCTGGTTTATTTTGCTTAAAATTATGTTTGTGAGATTCACTCCTACTGCTGATGGTTGCTATAGTTCTTTTATTGTCATTGCTCTGTAGCATTCCACTGTGTGAATATATCACAATTTGCCCATTTTATTGTTGGTGGACACTGAAGTAGTTTTCCATTTTTTACTATTATGATTAGTGTTGTTATCAACATTGTTGTACCTTTTAGTGAATGTTTTGTTCATGTTTCTGTTGTTACATAACTGGGAGTAGAATTGCTGTGCTGTAGTATAAACATATATCAGTTTATGTAGATACTGCCAGACAGTTTTTTTAAATGATTGTACCCATTTCCACTCAACTGAAACAATGAATCTTACTTGTTCTCATAAATATTTGATATAATTTTTTTGTTTTAGTCATACTAATATTTCTTTTCTAATACAGTCTCAAGCATAAGTGTACTTTGAATATCCTCTGTTGTAGAATGTCTGTTAAGTCTCTTGCCCATTTCTTTATTGTATTATCTGACTTTTCCTTATTGATTTCCAGGAGTTCTTTATATATTATGGATAAAAGTCCTTTGTCATGTATGCGTATTGTATATGCCATCTCCCACTCTATAGTTTGCCCTTTCACTCTCTTAATAATATATTTTGATTAACTTCTTAATTTTAATGTACTCCCATTTAATTTAAATAATTACATTTGTGTTTAATGCTTCTTTGTGTCCTGCTGGAAAAATCTCTGCCTGCCTGCCTGCAGCGTTATTATATTTGCCTATTTTTTTCTAAAAGCATATTATTTACCTCTCATATTTAGCTCTACAGTCCTCCTGGAATTAATTTTTCTGTATGGAATGAGATAGGAGGTTAAGATTCATTATTTTATATATGGATATCCAATTAACATGCAGTACTATGTTGTCTCCATTGTAAATTAGTGACTTTCATATATCAGTCTCTTCTGAGCTCTTCATTCTATTATAACCAACTTTTTTGGCAAAGTAGTATATGTATGGGACATTCTTAAGATGAGAGAATTCTAGAGTTAAATGGAATTGATTTATTTAAGATGCTCTAGGAAGCAATATTAGAACATTTATCCTTTTACTGGAAGAAATTACATATTATCAATAATAGAACCAAGCTTAGTTGTCAAACCCCTTACTTTCAAACATATAAAGGGTTCTTTAATTCCAGACTTATTTTTTTATCTGAAATGAGGCTTTGCTCTGTCACCCAGGCTAGAGTACAGAGGCACAATCACAGAGCTCACTGCAGCTTCGACCTCCCAGTCTCAAGCAATTCTCTCACTTCAAGTTCCTGAGTAGCTGGTATCACACGTGTGTGCCACCATACCTGACTATTGTGTGTGTGTGTGTGTGTGTGTGTGTGTGTGTGTGTTAGAAACAGGGTCTTGCTATGTTGTCCAGGCAGGTCTTGAACTCCTGGGTTCAAGTGAGCCTCCTGCCTCAGCCTCCCAAAGTACTGGAATTATAGGCATAAACCACCACGCCCAGCCCACTTCCAAACTTTCATTTATATATCCTTATTAGTAAGTGAGGTTTGAACAAACAACCTAATATATGTATTACATATATTTTTAATATATTTATATATTGTATATGTGGTATACATATGTTACAACATTAATGTTATTTTCATTATAAAACACACAAAATTGAAAGTGAAAAAGAAATTATAAAATAGAAATAGAAATTTCAATGTTTTCTTTCTACAACTCTGTATTAGCCAAGATGGGCTAGGTTATGTGTGTTATCAGCTCTCAAATTTCAGTGCCTTAAAACAACACAAGTTTATGTGTCTCATGCCCCATGTCCATTGTGGTTTGGCTTGAACACTCTTCTGTATTGTATTGTTCTCTGTATTATTCAACACTCTTGCACCCAGACTGACATAGCACCTCTCAACTGGAGGATTGCTGGTTATCAGGACAAAGGGAAAAATAATGGGGAATTAACACTTAAAGCTTTGGCGTAGATGTGACATATGGCACTTCTGCACACATTTCAGGCCAAAACAAGTTACGTGTTCCTACCTAATTGCAGGGAAGAAAAATCCAACCTTGTGCCTAGGCAGGGAAATGTATATATTTTAGACAACATTAAAAGTGGCTCTCCCGTGATCAGTTTTGGAGAACATGGCTCAGGATTCATGTTTGTCTAAGAAAATAAACACAAAAGACAAGTCCATTTAGCTTCTTCCATTATTTTGTGTTGTTTCTAAAACACTACAGACATGAGTAATGTCTCTACTACAACTACAGGCAAAGTGGCCTCCCTTGCTTAAAACTCTGTAATGGCTTCTTTGGCACTCATTATATAACTCAGACACCTTAATATAACCTACAAGCCCCACCTTTCCAGCTTCATCTCACTTCACTCACACTCCATCTCACTCTGCTCCTCAGAGCCCTTAGACTGGCCTTTCAGTTCCTTGAAGGGAGACATTTGCTCCCTATCTCTGTCTTGAATGTTTTCTTCCCTTTCTCCTTGTTTTCGCCTGGTTACTCTGTAGCTTTAACATCAAATGTTTCTTCAAGGCAGCCCTCTCTGACTCCTAGAGTAGATCAAGTCCTCTCTGTTCTACACTCTCATAATACCCTACACTTTTCTTCCAGAGAAGCCATTCCATTTTATAAGTGTATTTTTGCACTATTATTTGATCAATCAATTTCTCCAATTAGAGTACAAACTCCAGGGGTAAGGATCAAGTCTGTTTTGTTCACTACCATATGGTATTCCTTGTTTAGCTCAGTTACTGGCATATAATAAGGGCTCATTAAATATTGAGTTTGGTTATAATTTTATATTTTAGGTCTGTGACATTTACACGGTTTATAGAGAACATGTCTGAGATATTTATACAGTCCATAGAGAACAATTTGATAAGAAGATGAAAGTTACACAAACTGCAAATGCACACTTGCTCTGTGTCTCTATGTCTTAGCAGTATAAGAGATTCCAAGATCCTGTTCTCTCTGAATTGAAATATGCCCTCACATGGATTTTCACTTTCTTTAGGTATTTTTCCTTTTCTCATTTTTTGAGTAATACTTTTATGTTTTAGTTGAGAGCCCTATAGTCAGGAGATATATCAAATTAAACATAAATGGCAGTAAAACTGCCCAAGCAATGAGTGTATTATATAGGCATAGTTAATAAATAAGCTGTGTGATATTAAGCTATGTTTCTCTCTAGCTTTCTGGAGATAGTACTGAATTCCCAAAACACAGTGTTATTTATTTTTTATGACACTGTACATCAGCAAAAGGGCATATATTAGATGCTTGGAAAATGCCTTGCTATAGGTTTGTGTCTTCACTATTTGTCTTCATGGATAAGTATTGGGGGCAACTTTAGTGTTTCCTGTTTCTCTTTTCGGAAAGAATAACAAATTTTTTCACCTTCTCGTCTCTGTGTTTTATTGTGGACTATCAGTACTGTTCTTCATTTAAAATGCAAATGTTCTAATAATCTACAGTCATAACCTTAGGGTAGAACTGATACAGACATTGTAATCTCTAAGCCTCTGAAAGTAGTGTGCTGCATTTTTATTCTAAAAGAGAGTCACTGCTTCTCATCAATAAGAGAGTGGGATTAAAAGGAACATAAGTAAGACTATTTGCAGAGCCTATTTGTTCAACAGTATTGTTGAATAGTAATGTTTCTTAAGTATCGTTTTCCCTCAATATATATGGGGGATTGGTCCCAGAACCATCCTCCCCCACCACTGCATATTCCAAAATCCATGCATACTCAAGTCTCACAGTAGCTTCTAGGGCATGAGCCATTCGGGTACTTGGGTTTTGTAGCCTGCAAAACTGTATTTTTTATCTGTGTTGGTTGGAAAAAAATTCACATATATGTGCCCCCCAGCCCACAGTTCAAACTCACATAATTCAAGGGTTAGCTGTGTCTATTTTGTAGCAGAAGCTAGGGAAACTTAGAAAGAGAATGACATTTTCTGTGAAACTTAAGTGTGTTTCAAACAATAACATTCTGTTACGAGCCATTTAGTCTTTTGTTAGCACTGTCAATGTTCTCAACTATAGAATGGGGATGATAAAATAACCATTTCGTAAAGTTCTTGTGAGAGGTAAATAAGATAGTACATTTAAAGTACTTATCCTAGTACCTGATGTGTAACAACCGCTTAACGTATTTTAGATTTACTATGAGACTTTATCCAAAGTTAACCTCCTAGCTATTTATTTTCCTCTGTTCCTCCCCTCTTATTTTTCTCCAAATTGTCATCAGAGATAAATTTCTAAAACACAAATCTGTTTGTATAACTCTACCTCTTTGATACCATCTTTTCAACTTTAAAAACCTTTAGCGATTTCCTGTTGTCTGAAGAGAAATGCCTCAAATACATGGATGGTATTTAGCACTTTCCCACGTGGCCCTAACCTTCCTTCCCAAACCATCTTCTGCCTTGACCACCCACTGCACTGTAGCCCAAACAGGCCACACAGTTTTCTTTTGCTGCCTTGGCTTGTTGTCTTCCTTCTGTCTAGAATTTCTGCTATAGGCCTCACCTGCTCTCATCATTCCCCACCCTGAGGAAACAATTGTCTATTGGAATCTCAAAGATTCCTCTTCTTCGTAGGCAAAATTTTTGGTTCCTGTTTATTCATCTCTTTTTAGCATTTATTATTATATCAGAGGTAATTCCATATGTCTTACTGTCTTACTAGCTTGTGAGTTCCTTCAGAGCAGAGGCTATAATTATTCATCATTGTGATAACATTGATGAGTGCCACTACAACTCAGTAGGCACTCAGTAAAAACTTGTTGAAATCATGTATTAATATTTGGTATAATTTTGATTTCAGTGTGTTTTTATTCTAGGTCCTTGGCCTTATCCAAAATATGAGTGTTTTCCAGTGTCCAAAATGTAAACACAAAACTCATATTTTTGGTGCCGATGGTGCAAGAAAACTAGCACAGACCCTTGGCCTTGAAGTTCTAGGTAAGACTGTGGGATGTTCTTGAAGAAGAAGTGGCAGAAGGGAAAGTGGAAATGAGGCTTGGTGATTAAGAGTGTCTCAGAAAATGATGAGTTGCTTTTGGCTTTGTGTTTTAAATTTATATAGCACAATTCTATGTGTTAACTTTTCTTTGGCTTTTTTGAATAGATTTGTTCTGTCAACTATGATAATAATATCTATTTTAAATAAAAGCTGTCTATAACTTAAATTTGAGAAGAGAGTTTTGTGGTCCAACTACTGTAATTTGAAGCCATATTTTAAATGATGGTCATTAATGTGTTTGCTAAGTCAGGTGAATAGCTGTTCAGTATGTTGTAAAAACCTCTAGAAGTGTTCATTCTCAGTGCATATATAAAAATGCCTTTCTGATTAATTCTGTATTTGTTAGTCTTTCTGCTTTAGAATGACAATTTAGTATCAATGACAATGACTGAATTTACTGTTTTCTGTAATTTTTAATGTGTTTGATATGTCTCTAAAATACGGCACCTGAAATTTATGTTGTACACACTATTCCACTGTTCATGTCACTGAATTCAAGAGTTCATTAGTGCTATGAGGAGAACTAAAATCATGTGTTAAATGAGCAAAACACAGGTTTTGGATAAAATATGATGTTTCAAAAATCCACAGACAATTTAACAGACTTTTTGGAAAACATTGTTTTGATATTCTAATTGTGAATGAGTTTCTGTTCTTGTCAAAGACAGATGTTAGATGCTGAATAAGGAAGGCGTAGAGTGAATTATTAGACTTAGGTAGTTAAAAATTAAGATCCCTTAGAGATCAAGGAATTTCAAAACATTCTCCGTTATAATTAAGTTTCTAAAAGTTGATGTTAAATATATCATTGTTATGCATTTGCACTATGGCAGCCACTACAATACCAGGTGAATACGAATGATGTATTTTGATACATTGCTATAATTATGGCCACGAATTATATTCTGCAACTGTTTTTCATTTAACCCAGAAAGTTCGGTTTTCCAAATCTACATAATAGCAGATTGACATTTACTTATATAATAAAGAAATGTGTAATTATAATGTCATTATTGAATTATACTGACAACACTGTAATTTCCTAACTTAAAAATGAGCTGTACAATTTCATATCAGTTACTTAGAATTAGAAACATTTCATTGAGAAACAATGGTATATATGGAAGTTACATTTTAACCAACAGCTCACAAATATACAATTACCGTAAAAATGTATCAGAAACATGGATTATTGATCACAAAAATTGCACGGTGCCCTAGACTGCTATGTCTGACAGTGTTAGGGGAAAAATAATTTAGAGTTCCTCATTAGGGCCCCATGGTGTTTCCCATGAGGTGGAGCAGGGTTTCAGTTATGAAGAGATTGGAATTGGGAATGAAAAACTGAAATTGGGAAAAAGCTGTCTCAGCTCTGGCCTTTTGGCCAGTTGAACCTCTTGAGAACCCTTATTTGTCCTTTACTGATTCCCTGGCAGACTCTTAATTCAGTGGGTTGAGCTCTTCAGAATCTTATCTGTATTTACCTACAGGGACAGTTTATGCATAGCAGTTAAGGTCCCAGACCACCTCATGGAAAATCCTTTAACCTATTATATGTCTGAAATGTTCCCTCATTTCATTCAGATTCAGCCCCTCAAAGATACTGCTCAGGCTCAGACTGCTCCTCACTCACTTTTAATTTTTAAAAATCCATGTCTAGATACAACCATTAGCCCATGACCACTCTTACTATGCCACCTGTTTTCTAACAAGATTTTTCCCCTCTTGGTCTAATCTTCTGTGTCTGTAGGTAGGATTGTGAGTATGTGGAGGGCAGAAATGATGTCAATGCATGGCTATATAAAGGAGAAGGTTTTACTCTTTTACCTTCCATTTCTGCAGTAAGAAATCATTCATGATTCTTTACTAGAATGATAGTTCATAAATTGAGAGAAAAAACTTCATTTCTAAGCATTTTCTATCACATTTTTTCTGCCTGCTCCTGTGACAGTTTCCTACAGTCTGAAGTTGATCTAGAGAATAGGAATCAAATTTACTGAAATCCAATTCTTAACTGGCTGCTGAAACATCATGTGTTTGTCATTTGGCCATTCAATATTGAGGAAAGACTTACAGTTTAAGATCACAAAAGTTGACAAGAGAAGAATGAAATAAAATCTCCTTTTCCATGTACTTCATAGTATATATTGCAATATTTTTATAACATATACTTCTTTTGCATTATTTCATTGCCTGACATGGTGCTGAATGCCTTACTTGAATAAAACACCACATACACATCTGTTTTAACAACCTTTGCATGGATTTGGAGTCGTTCTGAGAATGCCAAGTATCATGACAAGTCAACTTTTCTACTTAAGACCCCACTCCCTGTTAAATCTCAGTCTTGATAAACTTCATTTGGGGTAGTGTGCTGGAAAGAGTATATTGGATGAGGGGTCAGAATTTAGGTCAGCTCCTAAATTCCACTACCTGATAGTAATATGACCTCAGGAAAACACACCTCTCCCACCTCCATTTGCATTTTGGAGGTTCTTATTGTAAACTTGCTAAGATCTCACTAACCTCATAAGTTATATATAGTGCCACATAGGCTAGTAAATAATAAGAGAAAAAAATTCTGTCTGATAAAGAGATAGATAGTTGAGATAATAGGTCTAGCCAACTTTTAACCAGTTCTTTGTGCTCACTCCATTTGCCAACATCAGGAAGGTTATTTTATTGTACTTTTTTTGGACTACTTTTCCTTGTCATATTTTTCTCTTCAGTTTCCTCTTATTATGTGGCATGATGTGTCTATATCATATATTAATGGGAGAAATCATTTGCAAATGTCTTCTAAGCCATTGCTTTCTTGGAGATTTCCGGCAAAGAATAAATCAGAGGCTTCATCCCTTAATGGGCTGCCACAGAGATTTCTTATATCCATACACAATCACTGTACTTCCCTAAAATAGAGTATTTTGTTTGTAATTCCCATTTGAAATTTCTTTTTCAGAGATTTAGCAATTAGAAGTTAGTCAATTTGAATCAATTTAGTTCAGATTTTGTTTCTTTCCATAGTTCAAATATTGAGATTCAAAAAGCCTGTATAAACTTTTCTGGTTCTAATGGATGTCTGCTGGGCTCTTTTAGGAGACATTCCCTTACACCTTAATATAAGGGAAGCTTCAGATACAGGCCAGCCAATTGTGTTTTCACAGCCTGACAGTGATGAGGTAAGTTCCATTTTTAGATATGTATTTTTATTTCTTTTTATATACTTTCTGATATATGGAAAGAAAGTTGGGAAGATTAAGTCTATATATTTGCAGTGTATATATATTTAAATAAGGATTAGTTAACTTATCCAAAGCATCTTTAGGTTACTGTTATGTACAGTAACCTGCCAGTGCTGGCTCTAAATTATCAGCTGAACAAGTTTACCTGCAGAGAATCATCATCCAACTAGTTTTCTCATGAAAAGCATAAACAATGAGAGTTTATAAAATTCTTATCTTGCTGGCTAGCATATGAGTGCACAAGTTTATTATATTTCAGTATTAGAAGTTCAACTTATTGGAGAAGAAAGCCTAATGTAACCAACTATTGAATTGGTTATAGGGTAATTATGTAAACCATTAGAGGTGGGATTTTTTTTTTTCTTTCCTTTTTTTTTTTCCAGGCAGGGTTTTGCTCTACCACCCAGGCTGGAGTACAGTTGTACAATCCTGGCTCACTGCAGCCTTGACTTTCCAAGCTCAAGCTGTCTTCCCATCTCAGCCTCCCCCTCCCAAATAGTTAGGACCACAGGTACACACCACCATGCCCTGGTAAATTTATTTTATTTTTGTGTGTGTGGAGACAGGGTCTCACCATGTACCTAGGGTGGTCTCAAACTCCTAGACTCAAGTGATCCTCCTGTCTTGTCCTCCCAAAGTGCTGGGATTATAGGCATGAGCCACTATGCATAGCCTAGAGATGAGATTTTCATTGCATTTATTTTAATAAATATGATCGGGAGGTGAGATGAAAAGACTAGTAGTGTTTCATTAGCCAACATCATTGGAGATATAGCTGATAGATTTTCAAAATTACTGCCACATAAAATTTTTAAGCGTAAAGTATTTTAATCTTTTTAAAAATGGAAATAAAATCAATCATCTATATTTTTTCTTTCCTAAATAACACTTGCTATTTAACTTAGAAACTGAATCATCATCTGGTACATCAGTTTGATGTTGTTCCTTTGTTGAACAACCCCAATCCATCTTCTAATAGTTTTTTTTTTCTTAACCAATGGGTATAACTTTACAGTACTGGTATTTTTGTCCAAACGTAACTTCTGCTCTTTATATTCTAGTTTGCTTCCGTTAATCTTCTGTGAATTGGAAAATAAAAGAGCCAAGTTTGGTTAGAGCTGTAAAGTAAGAGTAAATTAACAGGAATCTTGGATAAGTGAAGTATATTTACTTTGAGTGATCTCTTTCCTGGGTTTAGAGGTCCTTTCCTTTTCTTAAGGGTAAGCAGCTATGGTACAGGTGATTTTGTTGCTAGCAATATGATCTCTGAGTAAATACAGTATAACAGTTATCATTGTTTTTCTCTTTTCTGCCTTTCACTTATTAACTTTTAAATTTCCTTTTCAGTCTTTCTCAGCAATTTTTCAGATAAGGAAGAAACCATAATCCTTTAACATCTTCATAATTAAAATCTGCCAATCCCAACTACCATAACTGTGCTTTACTTTATGCAATATATAAAAATGTTTTACGAAAGTTGAGGGTTTTTTTGTTTTAATTACACACTTTTAAGTGCCTCCCGAGAACAGACTATTTAAAGACATTCCACAGCAATTCCTAGTGAATAGGAATAATTACTTACCAGCGTATTTCAATTAAGAGTTTAGATTTTTATTATTTTTTTCACCTGTTCATTATTTTTTCTTTGAAAGTCTCCAGGATAACTATTTTGTTGAAGTTAAAGGAATGTAATATAACAGATAACATATAGCAATCATCCAAAGTTAATATGATTTAATACTCTAAATAATTTTGTTAGATTCTCAAAAGGGATCTCTGCATGGAAGGAAAAGCACTAAACCTGAGTCATTGTGAGATACCAAGTTTGCCACTTCCTAAGCATGACCTAAAGCAAGTTTTCTAACCTCTCTGAACCTTTCTCTGCATCTGTAAATTGATGTCATAATGAGGAAGATGAGGAAGAATAAATGAAATAGTAATGTGGAAATACCTTGAAAAATCCCAAGTAGAATACAACTGTATTTATCTTCTGAAACTTCCTGTATAAGATGTCATGATGCTAAATGTCTCTCCTCTTCCCTTTGTTAAAGAGCTGAGTCCACTAAATGTCCTTGGCATAGTATCAAGCAAATATCACTCTTTAATGTTATTTAAAAGTCAGGGTAGCAGAATTTGAATAATAAGAACAGAATATCCACCTTCAACATCAAAGTGATTGAAGCCTAGGATCAGAATCCTCTGGTTAGTCTTGTGATGAATCTTGCCTCCTGAAAGCCTCCTTCCCTTTCCACCATGAACTCAAATGGAAATATGCTCTTAGAAACTAGTCACAACGCTCTCACCAGATTCTGTTGCATTCATAGAAGCTTAATGCCTATTCTGTGTGCATGTCTTCATTTACAGAATGAAGAAAGTGTTTATTTGCCAACATGATAAAACTTCTGCAGGAGTTAGTGGGCCAAAACCTATAATAATATTTGTTAATTATTAGCACATGTTTTTTCTGTGAGACAGGATCTTGCTTTGTCACCCAGGTTGAAATGCAAGTGGCACAATCTTGGCTTACTGTAGCCTCTACCTTTTAGGCTCAAACGATCCTCCCATCTCATCCTCCCAAGTATTTTTGGTACACATGGGTTTTAACCATGTTGCCCAGGCTGGTGCCAAACTTCTGAGCTCAGGAGATTCACCTGCCTTGGCTTCCCAAAGTGCTGGGATTACAGGCATGAGCCACCACTCCTGGCCTAAACTGATACTTTTTATTGTTTACTTTTAGGGGTTGACCCATAGGCACAATTATAAATCAGTAAAAGTTTAATCGTTAGCTTTTTGTCTACTTCTTACTCCACGTTCTCCATATTCTATCCCTCCCTCCTCTCAACACCAGGTGTCAGGGCTCTTATTCTCTGCCCACAAAATCCTTTAGAATTACATATTGAGGATTTATCTCTCCCAATAACATTTAACTTTCAGGAGAGGCAAACACTAAAAAGGTAGTAATTAATTTAAAAGTATGAATCGTGGTGAATTTAAGACATCATTGGAAATGTTGGAAGAGCTCATTGTACCAATTAAAAAGTACTAATAGTCTGCTGCCTACTCAGACAATGAGCAAAACCTTGCATGTACACTGCTTAGGAAAGGCGAGTAAGACTCCAAATGTGAGTGGTGTAAAATATCCAGAGAAAGCAATAGAGGAGGGAAGAGAAGGTGATACTTAGAATTCAGAACCCTTAATTACAATAGCATTGTCTCTTGCTGGTATGATTAATATTGTTGATTCAATTAAAACTACATTTTGCTCTTGATTAAGACCAGAATACGAGGACTGAACCTGTGATTAGCTGATACCATTGTGGTTTTGTTCTTTTTATCAAGTAATAATATAAGCTACAGAAAGATGTGCTGTGATATTCCTGGTAAAGACTTTCAAATATAAGTGGGAACTTTATTATTTTATAATTTCTAAATTATCACCTCACAATCTTAATATGAAACGACTGTGTGATAAATTAGGACTTCAAATATTTAAAAACAAAGACAAAGGAAAGAAACCTTTGTTCACTTTGGTTACCATTTATTCCCTGTTGCTAGTTAATGGCATAGCAGACAACAGAGTCCAACTGTATTATCTGGGCCTCTACATGACCTAAAAAAAGAGATCTTGAATAGGAGAAAAGGGTTAGTCTGTGTAGAGTTGATGAAAGGAGAGAATATTAATAGTTTGAGTTTTCTCAGTTATGTCTTACATGATGTGTGTGTGTTACTTGTTTGATAGTTATGGATTAAACAAAAGAATTTGATTTAAATATTCTTCAGGTGGGAACAGTGCCCAAAGGACATGTTCATATGAGCTCTTCAATGAGATTGTAAATTTATTGAGAGTATAATGATAATAGCAGCTACAAATATTTGTTATGTGCTTCCTCTGTGCCAACAGTTCACATGCCATGTTCTCACTTAATAATCCCCAAGTGCTTTGAGCTAGATATAATTATTATAACCAGTTTAGAGATATGGAAACTGAGCCTAGAAGAGTTAAGTAACTTGCCCAAAGCCTCACAGCTGATAAGTAATAAAGCCAAGATTCTAAACCATGCCTGTCTGATTTCAAGGCCCCAACTCTTCACCAATGAACTGTTCTGCCTCTCTTTTATATCATTACATCCCATAGATTTCCCAACACAATGCCTTGCATGCAATAAGAACCAAAATGTATTTGTTGAAATAATACTGCACTGGCTAAAAAATTTAATCTCAACAGTTTTTGAGAAATTGAAACTGTTAAACTAAGCACTTTTAGTAGTTTCTCAGCAACTAGCAATCTATTACTTTGAATGTGATATATTAGAATTCTAAGTTTGGAGATAGTCCATTAAAAAGGAAAGGTTAAATGTAGACAATTTTATTGTTCTGGAATCATTCAGTTTTTTTTGTATTCTGATAGGTTTATGTCTCTAATTTAATGTAGATAAGTACTAAAAGATTACAGAATGATGGCCTTGTCTCATCTTGCTTTAGTAAACTTTAAATTATCATCACAAAATATTAAGCATAAGTACCTAGAAAAGCTACTAGGAGATAAAAGGTATTTATAAAGATATATGGGTGAAAATCAGCACATTTGATTTGAGAGAAACCTTTCTTTATAAGTAGAAATTATTTCCATGTATAAACAAAAACTGTTGTTTCTATTAACTACAGCAGAGAAGAAACCATTTTTAGACTATGCTTTATGATTATAATTACTTGTATTTTGGGTTTACTGTTTAACATTTGGTGTAGTGGAATAAGCTGGACTTTAGAGTCAGTTGGAGCCAGGTTTGAATGTTTTCTAGCCTGACTTCATGACCTTGAGCAAACAATTCCTGGTTTCATCATCCAAGTTGAACTGATGATGCTTGTTTTACATGTTTAAGTTGAGGTTATTTATATGAAATACTTGGTATATAGTAGGTTCTCAATAAAAAAAAAATAAAGCCTTATTTATGTTTTTAGAGTTTTTAAAGGACTCTCTTAAATTGACTTGTAATACTTTTCTGGTAAAATAAATCATGATTTAGCTGTTAGGGCTCAAGCATAGTCTTTAAAAAATGAAGACATGTGAAACACTCTTAAAGTGTAAAACACACTTCATCAAGTCAGGGCAAAAAGACCACAAACATCTCTTTTTACTGTGTAGAGTCTGGGAACTCGTCAGCTTAGGTTCAAAGCCCAGGTGATCTCCTACTAGCTATAATGGTTTGGACAAAATTATTTACCTTTCTGGATGTTTCCTTATCTATAAAGTAGAGATAATGATAGATTTACCACCAGAGTAACTGTGAAGATAATTAACACTTGGCAAATATTAAGTACTCAGTAAATCTTAGCTATTACCATTAGTAGTTGTATATAAATATATAACTGTGAGTATATTATTTTATTTGTTTTCATGCTGCTGATAAAGATATACCAGAGACTGGGCCATTTACAAAAGAAAGAGGTTTATTGGACTTACAGTTCCGTATGGCTAGGGAGCCCTCACAATCATGGAGGAAGGTGAAAGGCAAGGAGGAACAAGTCACATCTTCTATGGATGGTGGCAGGCAAAAAGAGAGCTTGTGCAGGGGACTCCCTTTTTTTTAAAGCTATCAGACTTTATGAGATTTACTATCATGAGAACAGCATGGGAAAGACTCACCCTCGTGATTCAGTCACCTCCCACCAGGTTCTTCCCATAACACATGGGAATTGTGGGAGCTATAATTCAAGATGAGATTTGAGTGGGGACACAGCCAAGCCATATCATTCCACCCACCCCCTCCTAAATCACATGTCCTCACATTTCAAAACCAATAATTCCTTCCCATCAGTGCCAGAAAGTCTTAACTCATTTCAGCATTAACTCAAATATTCATAGTCCAAAGTCTCCTTTGAGACCAGGCAAGTCCCTTTGGCCTATCAGCCTGTAAAATCAAAAGCAGTTAGTTACTTCTTAGATACAATGAGGGTACAGGCATTGGGTAAATACAGCTGTTCTAAATGGGAGAAAGTGGCCAAAACTAAAAGGCTACAGGACCCATACAAGTCTGAAATCAGTGGGGCAGTCAAGTGTTAAAGCTCCAAAATTATCTCCTTTAACTCCATGCCTCACTAGGTCATGCTGATGCAAGAGGAAGGTTCCCATAGTCTTGGGCAGCTTTGCCCCTGTGGCTTTGCAGGGTATAGCTTCCTTCTCGGCTGCTTTTATGGGCTGGCATTGAGTGTCTGCAGCTTCTCCAGGCACATGGAGCAAGTTGTCAGTGGATCTACCATTGTCGGGTCTGGAGGATGGCGGCTGTCTTCTCACAGCTACACTAGGCAGTGCCTTGGTAGGGACTCTGTGTGGGGGCTCTGACCTCACATTTTCCTTCCGCACTTCCGTAGCAGAGGTTCTTCATGAGGACCCTGCTCCTACAGCCAACTTCTTCCTGGGCATCCAGGTGTCTCCATACATCTGAAATCTAGGTGGAGGTTCCCAAACCACAATTCTTGACTTCTTTGCACCTGCAGGCTCAACCCCATGTGGTAGCTGCCAAGGCTTGAGCCTTGCACCCTCTGAAGCCATGGCCTAAGCTCTACATTGGCCCCTTTCAGCCATGGTTGGAGCAGCTGGGACACAGGGCACCAAGTCCCTAGGGGGCACACAACACAGGGACCCTGGGCCCAGCCCACAAAATTATATTTTCCTCCTAGGCCTCTAGACTTGTGATGGGAGAGGCTGCCATGAAAACCTCTGAAATGCCCTGGAGACATTTTCCCCATTGTCTTGGGGATTAACATTCTGTTCCTCGTTACTTATGCAAATTTATGCAGCAGGCTTGAATTTCTCCTCAGAAAATAGGATTTTCTATTCGTATCACATTGTTGGGCTACAAATTTTCTGAACTTTTATGTTCTGCTTCCCTTGTAAAACTGAATGCCTTTCACAGCACCCCAGTCACCTCTTGAATGCTTTACTGCTTAGAAATTTCTTCTGTCAGATACTCTAAATCCTCTCTCTCAAGTTCAAAGTTCCACAGATCTCTAGGGCAGAGGGAAAAGGCCCCCAGTCTCTTTGCTAACACATAATAAGAGTCACCATTGCCCCAGTTCCCAACAACTTCCTCATCTCATCTGAGACCATCTCAGCCTGGACCTTATTGTTCATATCACTATCAGTATTTTTGTCAAAGCCACTCCACAAGTCTCTGGGAAGTTCCAAACTTTTCCACATTTTCCTGTCTTCTTCTGAGCCCTCCAAACTGTTCCAACCACTGCCTTGCCCAGTCCCAAAGTTGCTTCCACATTGTTGGGTGTCTTTTCAGCAATGCCTCACTCTACTAGTGCAAATTTACTGTATTAGTTTGTTTTCATACTGCTGATAAAGAGACTGGGCAGTTTACAAAAGAAAGAGGTTTATTGGACTTACAGTTCCATGTGGCTAGGGAGCCCTCACAATCATGGAGGAAAGTGAAAGGCAAGGAGGAACAAGTCACATCTTACATGGATGATGGCAGGCAAAAAGAGGGCTTGTGCAGGAAGACTCCTGTTTTTAAAGCTATCAGATCATGTGAGACTTATTATCACAAGACCAGCACAGGAAAGACCCACCCCCATGATTCAATCACCTTTCACCAGGTTTCTTCCACAGCACATAAGTGGGAGTTACAGTTCAAGATGAGATGTGAGTGGAGACACTGCCAAACCATATCAATTATCAATGTAGAAATTAATGGTTTTAGACAATTTTACTATTGTGTTCTACAGTTAACTTTTTATGAATAAGGTAGAGGATATAAGTAATTTTGTGTTACATTTATTTAAAGGAACTCTTAAAATGCAAATATCATGACCATGCAGGCATTAGGTTAGCTTGTGGCCCACTCCATGGCTTAAGAGCTGCTCTTAGTGTCCCATGGCACTTGGGATCCCAGACAATAAGAGTGTTACAGTGGAACCAGGATTTTTTGCATGATAACCAAAATTTACCAAGTGGAAGAGTCTATAGGTGCTTGATGCTGGTGTTGCACACCATTCTTGGGGAGATGAAGAAAATGCTTTCCTAAGATAAACTGTAGCATGATAATAAATAGTCTTCCTTAAAAATGACTAACAGCTCTTATGCTAAAGAAGTTTTGGCAGTATCTGACTCAAGATAACAGTTTTTCAGAGGAGAAAGGTGTATTTTCTCTGCAACCAGGCTGGGTTGCTAGTTTGCTGACACCAGAATTAGAGTTTGAAAAACAGTAATTGCTGGTATTAAATATTATTTCAGAGGGTCATCTTTCAAATAATTCCCCTCCAAATAATCTAAAATTCTTTCTTCCTCATGTTACCTGCAATGTATATAGCATTATCTTCTCAATACTAAATTTCCTCATCTCACTCAGCCTTTTGGCCATCAAATACAGTGGGCCTCTATGACAAACAGTTGATGAATCATTCAGTGTCTGCTGAAGAGAAATACAGAACAAACGAATCTGTTCTTTTCCAGGCCAAAGCTTACTTGAGGATTGCTGTGGAAGTGGTAAGAAGATTGCCCTCACCTTCAGAGTGATTCCCCAAGTGTCCTGCAAATTTGCCTGGTACTGACATTAAGAGGACCTTTGGAAATCAACAATGTGGTGATGGAACCTACAGAAATAATATAAATCATAATTGTTTTATTTCTAAGGAAATAATGTCTTCACATCTGATTTGCTAAGCTGTGAGTCAAAAAACTTTTATGTATCAATGTTAACTGCTACATTTAGAAATTTTTTGAAAGCTGGTGTATGCCACCTGCACAGAACTGCATTTTATTTTATTGAGTTACCCCTTTAGGAATCATGAGTTTATGATGTTACAAGACCATGGGAACTACATACAATTTACAGGACCACAGAGTTACTAAATTTGTGTATGGACATAAGTATTACACCTCTCCATCAGGCAATTTGGACTGTCTTTGAATCCTATCTTTAGCACTGTCTTGGATGTGTTCTTAATACGGACCTTTGCTTCTTCATCTGGATCACACCATCCCCCAGACTTAATGAGTCTCAGTCTCCAGGGATAGGGTCTGAACATACATATTTTTAATAAGAACATGATGTTGATGATGATTCTGATTATGATGGCAGTAATAATAATAGCTAACATTTAACAAGTGCTTTCTATGTATCCTTATAATTAATCTTTCATTTGTGTGAATGGATAATAGTAATTATCTCCATTTTACAGACAAGTAATTTGAGGTATAAGAAGGTTGAATGTCTTGCTGAGGGTTAATATATCTAGCAAGTGATAGAGCTTAGATTTGAACTTGAGTTCAAAAGGATATTAGATTTATCCTTTCCTATACCAAGGTGCTTTTGTTAATTCAAAAAAGGTGGGTGGAATGCAGTATTTAGCATTTCCTCAAACTTTTTTGGCCATGAAATCCACCCCCGCTCCCCACCCACTGCCTTTTAAGAGCATTTCATGGAGTTCACATTTCAAATAATACATTTTGAAAAACATTTATCATGTCTAATTGAAACTCGAAGAGAGATAATCCACGACTTTTCAGAGTCAGGTAGCATATAATTTTAAATCTACAAGTAGTGGTAAGAGTGAGCCATTAGTTAATTGGCATTCATAAAGAAGTGATCTGACACTTTTGGCAAATGCTTTGACATCCCTTGTTCTATAGTTGTCAGCCAGAAAATTAGGCACAGAGTTTCACATTATTATGTTTTCACACAAAAATATAGACATTGATGCTTATTGCAACTTTATGTGTAATAACCAAAAACAACCCAGATTTTCTTCATTGGGAATAGTTAAAGAAACCATGGTACATTCATACTATGAATATTACTCAGCAGTAAAAAACAAACTAGGGGTACATGCAGTAACCTAGATGAATTCTAGAGAATTATGCTGAGTGAAAAAAAGCCAGTCTCAAAAGGTTATGTACCAAAAGATTCCATTTATATGACATTCTTGAAGTGACATAATTATAGAAATGGAGAACAGATTAGTTATGACCATGTTAAGGAGGTGGTGAAAATGGGAGAGAATTGGGTATGGCTATGAGAAACATGAGGGATCCTCATGATGATGGAAATGTTCTATATCACAACTATCAATGCCACTCTCCCAGTTGTGATATTGTGCTATAGTTTTACAAGATGTTACCATTGGGGGAAATTGGATGAAGAACACATGGAATCTCTGTATTATTTCTTACAACTGCATGTAAATCTACAATTATCTCAAAATAAAAATAAAAGTTGAAAGAACACATACTGCGATGTATGAACTGAAATTTACTGGACCAAATTATACTAATTAATATCATGAATAAAATTATTTGTGGACACACTGTAATCATCATATCACTCTGAGAAGGAAGTAATGACTTAATGTTTCAGATATTTGTGTTTATTGTCTATTGAGGAAGAGGAAAATATAGATGATCATTGAGCACTTGTGAATACAAAAAATACTTAAACCCATTTCCCCATGACATATATTAAATGATAACATACAACTTGCAGTCATTCTTTTTCTGGGTAAAGTTTGGTTTAAGTATTTTTATTTTAGTATAATTCCTTGAGTGAACTTTGGTAGTTTCTTTCAAAGCTTAAAATAGTCATGTACTCGTGAATACATGACTGAGAGAAGATCCACATATAAAATTCCCTGCCTTCTTCTCCTTCACTTGACTGTTGTCTGCAGATGCTTCCAGGAAGTCTACTGAAGCAAATGGTGGTTGATGTATATATGCAAGGTTAGATGTGGAGGAAGAAAAAGTAGCTATAAAAGAAAAACTAAGCTTATTCTTAAAATTTTGCCTATGGCAGTCTTCGTTAGGCTTCAAAGAGCCAACTCCAAAGGTAGACTGAAGTACAGGTAGTTTGCCTGCTTGTGAAGGGGTAATACATCTGTTCTTTACATCTCAATAGAAGGTAATTAAAAGACTGATATTTTGAAAAGATGAACAAAACTGACAAACTTCTAGCCAGGCTCATTAAGAAAAGAGAGAAAGAAAGATGGCATATAAATCGACAAATCAGGAATGAAAAAGAGACATCACTACATTCATGAAAAGGACAATAAGAATGATTATAAACAACTTTATGCCCATCAATTTGAAGACTTAGATGAAATAGACAAAAGCTTTGAAAGAAACTACCAAAGTTCACTCAAGGAATAATGACCTAAGTAGTCATAAATTACTTTTAAAAATATAATTTGTGTTAAGAACCAACAAAGAAAACTCCAGCCCCAGATGCCTTTACTGTCAAAATCTACCACATTGAAGGAAGGAGTAATCCAAGTTCTACATAAACTTTCCCAGAAAATAGGAGGAGGCACTTTCCAACTCATTTTGTGAAGTCAACGTTACCCTAATACCCAAACAAAAGACAATACAAGAAAAGAAGAGTACAGACAAGTGTTTCTCATAAACAGAGACACAAAATTCTTCAACAAATCTTACTTAATTGAATTCAGCATTATATAAAAAGGATTACATGTATGACTATGAGGTCATTTTCCTGGTAATGCAAATGCAAGTTTGGTTCAACATTTGAACACCAATCAATGTATGGCAGATTCAAGAAGAAACAGTAAAGCAAAACAGACTAAAGAAAAAGCATGTTTATTTGAAACAGACAAAGCATATAACAGAATTGAACATTCACTTGTGATAAGAATTATCAGCAAACTAAAAATGGAAAACAACTTTTTCAGCCTAATAAAACTCATCTACAAAGAACTACAGCTAACATCATTGCTAATGGTGAAAGACCCACTGCAAGGCTGTCCAATCTCACCATTTAATTTATTATAATACCTAAGGTATTTCCTAGTGCAATAGAAAAAGAAATAAAGGCATATAGATTAGTAAGGAAGAAATAAAACCATCTCTGTTTACAAATTGTCTATGGAGAACATTCCAAATAATATACAAAAAAGAAACTAGAACTAATAAATGGATTTAGCAGAGTTGCAGTGTGCAAGGTTGACATACAAAACCATTTTTACTTCTGTATACTAGCAACAATCAATTAGAAATGAATGAACAAAGGTCAATTTATAATAGCATCCCCAAAACCATGAAATATTTACATATAAATATAATAAGATGTAAGAGATTTGTTATGCTGACAACTAGAAAATACTAATGAAAGAAAACATTTAGATGGTGAGACTTACCATGTTCAAGGTTTGAAGACTCAACATGTTTAAAATATCTAATCTCCCCAAACTGTTCTATATCTAACGTGATCCCTGTCAAAATACAACAAGACTCCTATTGAAATTGACAATTTGATTCCAGCATTTTCATGGAACTAGAGAATGTCCACAATAGCTAAATTATTTTGAACAACAAAGATTAAAGTTTAGGAACTTACACCACCTGATTTGAAGACTTATTATAAAGCTGCAGCAATCAAGGCAATGTGGTATTAGTGTAAAGACAGAAGTGTAGATTTGTGGGATGGAATAAAGGGTTCTAAAAAGACATACACATATAAACAAAGGTGCCAATGAAACAGACATACACAGATGTGATAATTTGATTTTCAGCAAAGGTGCCAAAGAAATTCAGTGGAGAATGGATGACTTTTCAGCACTGTGCTTGAACAATGAGACATCTTTTTGCAAAGAAATAAACCTTGCCTCCTTATAGATCTAAAAAAAGCTTACATCAAAATGGATCATAGACCTAAATGTAAAATCTAAAACTATGATACGTCTAGTCTGTGTCTTTTGATTGGGGCATTTAGGCCATTTACATTTAACATTAATATTGTTATGTGTGAATTTGATCCTGCCATTTTGGTACTAGCTGGTTGTTTTGCCCATTAGTTGATGCAGTTTCTTCATTGTGTTGTTGGTCTTTACCAGTTGGTACATTTCTGCAGTGGCTGGTACTGGTTGTTCCTTTCCATGTTTAGTGCTTCTTTCAGGAGCTCTTGTAAGGCAGGCCTGGTGGCTGGTGGTGATGAAATCTCTCAGCAACTGCTTCTCTGTAAAGGATTTTATTTCTCCTTTACTTATGAAGCTTAGTTTGGCTGGATATGAAATTCTAGGTTGAAAGTTCTTTTCTTTAATGATGTTGAACATTGACCCCCACTCTCTTCTGGCTTGTAGGGTTTCTGCTGAGACATCCTCTGTGAGTCTGATGGGCTTCTCTTTGTGGGTGACCTGACCTTTCTCTCTGGCTTCCCTTAGCATTTTTTCCTTCATTTCAACCCTGGTGAATCTGATGATTATCTGCCTTGGGGTTGCTCTTCTTGAGGAATATCTTTGTGGTGTTCTCTGTATTTCCTGGATTTGAATATTGGCCTGCCTTGCTAGGTTGGGGAAGTTCTCCTGGATAATATCCTGAAGAGTGTTTTCCAGCTTGACTTCATTTTCTCCTGTCACATTCAGGTACACCAATCAAGTGTAGGTTAGGTCTTTTCACATAATCCCATATTTCTTGGAGGCTTTATTCATTTCTTTTCACTCTTTTTTTCTCTAATCTTGCCTTCTCATTTTATTTCATTGAATTGATCTTCAGTCTCTGATATTCTTTCTTTTGCTTGATCAATTCAGCTGTTGAAACTTGTGTATGATTTGTGAAGTTCTCGTGCTGTTTTTCAGCTTCAAGTCATTTATGTTCTTCTCTAAGCAGTTTATTCTCGTTATCATTTCATCTAACCTTTTTCAAGGTTCTTAGCAGTTAGAACATGTTTCTTTAGCTCAGAGAAGTTTGTTATTACCCACCTTCTGAAGCCCGCTTCTATCAATTCATCAAACTCATTCTCCAATCCTGTTTTGTCCCCTTGCTAGTAAGGAGTTGTGATCCCTTGGAGAAGGAGAGGCATTCTGGTCTTTGATGATTTTATCCTGTTTGTGCTGGTTTCTTCCCATCTTCATGGATTTATCTACCTTTGATCTTTGAAGTTGGTGATTTCAGATGGGGTCTCTGAGTGGACATCACTTCTGTTGATGTTGAAATTACTTCTTTTTGTTTTTTTATTTTTCTTTCTAACAATCAGGCCCCTCTGCTGTAGGGCTGCTGTAGGTCCACTCCAGACCCTTCTTGCCTGGGAATCACCTGTGGGGGCTGCAGAACAGCAAGGGTTGCTGCCTGATCTTTGCTCTGGTAGCTTTGTCCCAGAAGGGACACCACCAGGTGTCAAGATGCCAGAGCTCTTTTTGTTTTGCAGGGGTCAGGGAATGGCTTGAGGAGGAAGTCTGCCCCTTGTCTGCCTGCAGAAGCACTGCTGGGCTGCCACGGGCTCAGTCCAGCTGCTGTGTAAGCTTCCTCTCGCTTTTGTTTGCACAAGTAAATCAGCTGTGGTGGGCACCCTTCCCCCCACTAAGCTCAATCATCCTGGGTTGAGCTCAAACTGATGTGCTGGCTGTAAAACTCTCAAGCAAGAGGGCTTCAGTTTGCTGATCTTTGTAAGGGTGGGACCCAACATGGCGTGTCACCTGTCTCCCTGCTTTCAGCTCTCCCTCTTTCTGGGGAACAGGAAGTTGCATCTCGCAGGCACTCTCGACTCTAGTCAAAATGTCTGCCCAGATCTGTGCTGACAACCTGCGGTGCTGGCTGGGGCTGCCACTGAAATCTGTGCTGGTAACTCACAGCACTTTTTAGCCCAGTGGGGATCTCCTTGTTTGTGGGTTTCAAAGGGCATGGGAGAAGTGCAGTATCTGAACTGGAGTACTGGAGGGGAAGAGTCCCCGATCCTCTGGCTAGTTGTACTTCCCAGGTGGGGCAGCACCCTGCCCTGCCTCAGTTTGCCCTCCTTGGGCCACACCTACTGTTCAACCAGTCCCACTGAAATGAACCTGGTACCTTGGTTGGAAATGTGGAGATGACTCGCCTTCTGTGTCACTCTCGCTAGGAATTATGCTCCAGAGCTGTTCCCACTTGGCCATTTTGGCAGACAACTATGACACTTCTAAAAGAAAAACATAGAGGAAAATCTTGATCTTGAGTTATGCAAAAATAAGACACAAAAATCCCTTATAAACAATAACAGAAAAAGATAACTTGTGCTTCATCAAAATTAAAACTTAGCTGTTTGAAAGATGCAGTTAAGAAAATCCAAAGGCAATTTATAGACTAGGAGAAAACATTAGTGAAGTGTATCTGATGAAGAGTTTATAGCTGAAATATATAAAGAATACTTATAACTTGTTAATAAGACAACCCAATTTAAAGGGCAAAGGATTTGAATAGACACTTCACCAAAGAAGAGATATCATTGACAAATGGCATGAAAATGCTCAATGGT